AATAATCCTTTAATTGTCCCACAAGGGGAAATTTGGTTGTAACAGCACACAGTACACAGTACACAGAACAGAAACATACACAATTTTTCTTACATATTTACATTAAGGACAATGGTTACTATATACAGTTCAAGCTCACTGCTGTAATATATCCTGTAAAAAAAAAAATATATATATATATGTGTGTGTGTGTGTGTGTGTGTGTGTGTGTGTGTGTGTGTGTATCATAATAATCTGACAATACTATTATATAGGCCATATTATATTTACATTACCACAGTGAGATGAATTTAGTCTCGTGAACAACATTAGCTAATTGGTATTTACTAACTAATCTTGAAATGATTGTTCAGTACAGAAATGAAGCCCAACAATCATGTTTTTACAGTCCCGTGGTCTCAGCCTCAGATACTCAACTAATCAAAGTGATGTCATGACAAAATTGAATGACCAAAAAAACATTTTTTTCTCCTTCATTTCTGTCACACAATGCTGTATGAAACGTTTCTCACGGTTAGTATCATGGTTGCTAGGCAACCTGAACAGCGCGACGAAGGCTAAACCGTCCCATTTCACAAGCCTCTCACTTCCGCATTTCTCATACGTAGTATGCGTAGTGCGCGTACTTCTAGCGTGCGGTCTCTTAATTGGGACACAGCCAACGACCACCAGCAGAAGGAGCAAGGAAGGACACAGGCTGTATCCCAATTCAGGGTCTGCAGCCTTAAAGTACGCAGTCTCAACGATCCTCAAGGGCCGCGTACTTAAAGACCGCTAAGGCCGGAAGTGCGAGGCTTGTGAAATGGGATGGTCTAGCCTCCGTTGCGCTGCCCAGGTTGCCTAGCAACCATGATACTGACAGCTGGAAACGTTTCATACAGCTTTGTTTGACAGAAATGAAAGAGAAAATAATTTGTTCATTTGTTTGTTTGTTTCTACATGAGTTTTGATCATTCTCTGTAAGATTAAGGTCAGCTATTGAACGGCGTATATTTTAAAGTAAAGGCTGTAAAACCAAGCTAGTACAAACGTCACTAATGTCACATAACTTTGCCGACATGTGGCCAACAGTAATGTTTTAATGTTCTTCGTTATTAAACATTTGCACATAAATAGGTGACATAATATTCATTACTTACTTAAAGTTTACTCTTCGGGCGCCCCTCATCTGCCGTTTTTTTCGGCAAAATTATCCACACCCACCGCCGCGCTATGCATTCTGGGATATATTGGGCCATGAAGTCTACACCGCCACGTCCTTAAAATTCAGGGAAATGAAGGACGCATTTGAGGGCCGCATTTCGAGCAGCCTTCGAATTGGGACAGCCTTCGTCGCGTCGCTGTGACGTAATTGGCCTTAAAATGCGGCCTTTAAGGCTGCAGACCTTGAATTGGGATACAACCACAGTCAGATATGTTTGTGATGATGTTCATGGTGGTGGATCAGTGATGGTGACCTGAGAGTGAAACTGTGGATCCCCTGGTGGACACACAAATTTTCTCTCTCTGTCTTTATTTGGCCTTTTTTGCCACGATAAAAGGGAAAGGGCTTACACCAGTGTATGTTTTGTGTGTTTATGCTTTAAATGATGCTGAATGACTGTTTAATATGATGCTGCTGTGTGTCTGCTCTGAGTTGCCGCATTTGTTTCACACAGTCAGTCTTTTCTGAAGAAATGGAGAATAGAATAGAAAAAAAAAACCCTTTATTATCCCACGGATGGGAAATTTGGGGGTCACACGGCTCTTATAGCAAGGGGAATATAAAATATAAAAGGAAGACACAACGTAGTCCTATATACATAAGCAACTGAAGTTCGTATATACAGGTAACAATGTACAGAAATATGTATAGAAAAATTGTACAGAGATATGTATAAAATGTGCAGTGAACAAACAAGCTGATTAGTAAGATAACCAAAAGGATGTTAAACTGTGTTATAGAGTCTGACAACTGCTGGTAAGAATGACCTGCGGTAGCGCTCCTTCTTACACTGTGAGTGTAAAAGTCTACAGCTGAACGAGCTGCTCAGTGCTCGTACAGTCTCATGCAGGGGTGGGAGGTGTTGTCCATGATGGATGTTAGCTTAGACATCCTCTCCTCCCCAACCTGCTCGATGGACTTCAGCGGACAATCCAGGACAGGACTGTTTAATGTTATTACACAGATTTTATATGAGCTGAAACTGTGATGTAGATTGAATTTAGAGCAGGTTTTAGTTGCTTTTTATGTGTATCAGGTATATGTTATCCTGATGCACATATAAGTCTTCATCTTCATGCTTCAGGATTATTTATCTGGAAAAATAACTCAGTAGAAAAAATTCATGATAGATTACATGAATGTTGTATTTACCTTTGGCTATTACTGAGTGTATAATTGTTCTTTACTGTCTCTGTAATCTTTAATTATCCATAAAATCATGTCAATTATTTACAATATATAAATATATATATAATGTTAGTAATAATAGATATTATTTACTAACATTTGTGTATTAATTATATATTTATTAAATATTTTATAAAGGGGATTCGTAATTTTTTTATATGTTTGATATCAATAAAGTTTAAAACATTAAAAAATAAAAGAGCGGGAAGTGGTGGGCGGACCCAGTTTGGAAAACACGAATGCGCATGTGCAGTGGGTCAACCAGAACAAGCCCAGTAGGAAGAAAACAAAAGTTCGGCCGCCATTTTGGGGCAGGAAAAGCGGTTCTGCTGAAGGCGGAGTGGGACGGCGCTAACACCGTCTCCGAGTGGAAGCTGTGTTTGGAACACGGAGCTAAAGAAGGAGCTGGACCCGAGAGGAGGAGCGAGATGAGCGGGCCAGAGATGAGTTAAAGGTCTGGATAACTTCCAGTGTGTTACAGAACGGGACACAGAGGACTGCAGTCCGAGCAGAGAGGTCAGAGGGCGGCAGGCTGGCCTCCAGGTAAGCTCGTTAGTGTGGAGTTACTTCTCGTCTGTGAGGACGGGGTCTCCTCCCCCTTTCTCTACTCCTCACCTGAAGCCCTCTTCAGTGAAGTGTCCCTCTGTCGGCTTCACTTTAACTTTATCCAGTTAGGTACCTCTTTAAGGTGGAATTACTCAGCTTTTCATTTTTGTAAAAGTTGTAGCACCTGTGACTGATTTACGGTGGTTTTTAACTTATTTCCAGCTTCTGTCCCTTAGGATTTTGGTGGTTTAAAGTGGTATTACTGAACTGTCAGTGTAGGGTTATGAAGGGTTGTTGCTGATGATCCTAAGGCATTTTAAGGTGGTATTAGTAATCCCTTTTAGTGTTTGTTTTACATAACGCTTGCTAGGTTTGAATCATATTCTGTTTCTCCTCAGAGCTGCTCTATCACTTCTGCCGTAAAATCTACGGTCACACAGCCAAAAGAAGACCTGGAGCAGATTCTCAGAGGTGGGTCTGAACAGGGTGACGGTGCATGTGTTCTCTCAGGTGTTCCCCATGACCCCTGACCGGGTCTGATGTGATTCCTTTTGTAGGTGCCCTAATGGTCCGAGGTCGGGATCTGAGCGACTTTGAGCGTGGCGTCATTGTTGGGGCTCGGATGGCGGGAGTTTCAGTCACCAAGGCCGCCCAGCTTACCAGCGTCTCCATAGGAACAGTGACAAAAGTGACAGCGGCGTACAAGACGCAGGGGAAATCATCGGTGAGCCGCGTGGGGAACTGCGGGCGGCAGCGCTCATTAGGCGAGCACGACGCACGGGCACTGGTGCAGTTTGTGAAGAAGAACCGCAGCGCCACGCTGGCTCAGGTGACGGAGAGCGTGAACGCTGGGCGGAGCCACAGCGTGTCAGCCAGAACGGTCCGCCGCCAGCTGCACAGGGAGGGCTACTATAAGGAGATTACGGTGCCCAGGGCCTGCGCCACAGGAAGCCCAGAGGATTGTGGGAATGGTGAAGCAGAGGGACACTCGGATGACGTTGCCACCACCGTCGATCAGACAAGCTGAACCACATCACAGAGCTAAAAACTGACAGACTTATCATGTGACAGGAAGAGGAAGTGTGGCCTCAGCTTTAGCATGTCGAGGAACATGTGAGCAGACCCTGGACAGGAGGTGAGAGTGTTAGTTGCACTCTGCTGATTTGACACAAACAACTTCTAGAATGATCCAGTTCAATCTGGTCTTAGTGCTCCTCCCGAGGACTGAAACACACCTGTTCACCTGCGTACACACGCTCTAAACATCCAGCTGTGCTGGGGTTAAAGGTCAAACCAAAGAACCACCAGCCTGTGAATCACCCAGTCATGCGAACCATTGATCAATCACAGTGATCAATCCCTCACGCGTGGAAGAAATTCAGTGAAATGCATCTTTATGTTTCAAAATAAAACTTTATTTAAACAAGTTTCCTCTGTCTGTCAGCCTCATAAAAGGTGGTATTACTCATCAGTTGACCTTAATGAAAGTGACTTTTGTAGCCTGATTGGCTGTTAAGGTGGTATTAGATACTTTCACCTTCTTGTCATGGAATTGAAGGCTTAAAAGATGATCAGATGTGAAGATGGAGGCACTTTTAATCTGTTCTGTTACTCTGAAGGCTTTTTAAAGATGACTAAACTAAAGAGGCCATCTGAGCAGGACTTCAGGAACCATGTGAATCACCTCACCATTTAGAGCAATGTCTCAGCCAATGAAAGAAGAAAACATGTTCGATCACTTTGACTTCTCTTGATTGATTTGTGTTTAGTGTAATTAATTTCTTGTTGAGAAAAAGTAAGAGTTCTTCAAAAATGTACAACATCAAAATACAACTGTTAAAAGAGGAACTATTTATTACGTTTTTAATGTTATAGCAGTTAAAATGGTAAAAACATAATGCAAATATTTACAAACATTAATATTAAAGGACGATATATAACAGAATGAAGTAAAAATAATTATAAAATATAAAATAAATATCAATTTATTTGCTGTTTGCATAGTTGTTTTTTATTGAGGGAACAGGAAACCACGTGGCGTAATCACGCAGAGTGACGTCGCTACGCTGTGGTTGTTGTTATTTAGCAGTTATCCTGCTGAGTGTCCAGCCCAAAGAGAAAAAGATGTTTTTGAATTAGTTGGTTAAGCTTAACTGGACGGTGGGACTCTCCAGCTTCTCCGCCTGCCGCCCCATGAGGCGTCCAGATAATTCAGCGACATTTAACGGCGTAGAGTCCGCCAGCAGCTAGCTTAGCTCACCGGCTAGCCCCGGTTAATTAGCCGCTTAGCTGGCTCCCCCGGCGGACTTCGGGTTGGTAAATTTATTCAGTTTTTAATTATTTAACGGGTCCACAGTTGTGGTAGCTTTCTGCAGTGAACACCTTACAAATCATTAACTTGTTTTTAGAAATTCGGCGCAAAAATAACCCACCAGCTGTGATAGATGGGGCAAATATATTTATTTCTATAGTTAAAGGAAGATCTGAGGGAGAACTGCCACAAATTCTGGTGATAATATATATAACGGTCATTTACCTTTTTATTTAAACCTGTACGTATAAAACATCAAATGTCCCAGTGTTTGTGAAAACACAGAGTTGTGTTTTGTGGCAGGGAACGATGGTGAGGTTAAAACCCCGAAATTTTCAAATGGACTTTGGTCTGCTCAGCATCGCTTTTACAGTAGATTTATATCGTGTTTACTCGCATTGTCACGGACCCGGTTCCGGGGACTCGGGGTTCGTGAACAGTGTGGACCTTTATTGTTATTAGTGTATTGGATGTATGTTTGCTGCACTGTGTTCTTGTGTTCAATGCTGGTGTGTGTATGTGTGTGAGGCTGGAGGATGAAGGACAGCCACCTGCAGGCCTGATGGGTGTGGCCCTGCCAGCTGCTGGTCACGCCTAGCTTACCACACACCTGCTTCTGATCAGGATCGTCGGGGGAGCTACTTAACAGAGCGATGGAGCTTCCTCCGGCGCAGGATCGTTGAGTTAGACTCCATGTCAGTGTTTCTAGTGTTGTTAAAGTGTATGCCTGCCGGAGTTGGTGCCATAACGGCTGTGTCTGTGTTTTTCCCCAGGAGGACAGCGGAACACAGAACTGCAAGACACACGGGGTGTGTGAAGGCACAGGGGCAGAGAGCACGGGATACCAGCACTTGGGAGAAGACACGTCACGGGAGTCGAGGGAGCACTTTTGGAGATTCAATGTGTGGTGTACCATTACCTCACTGTAAATAAACCCACTGTTCATTCCATTAAGTCCAGCGTTTGGGTCCTATTTCCCCATCTCCCCACGATCTGCCAGCCAGACCGTGACACGCATATGTTTAAAATTCACTGGCAGGCATAATTTCCGGGATGTTTTTTGATTTGATCTGAACGTTGGTGGTTAGAGTTCCCAGCCCCAGAAGCCCAATATGTGGCCATTCAGAAATGCATGTAAGACTTTTTTTATTTTTATTTTTATAAGCAGCTATATTATTCTGAACAGATTAGTTTTGTCTGATTTATTTGAGGGCTCAGACTACAGATTAATACACATAATAACTACGCTTCAAATTTCCTGAAATCCTTTATGCGTGGTGGAGCAGTCCTTATCCATATTTATAGAAAAAGTTAGTTTTTAATTACTGTAGGATTCTTTAAGTTGATATTGTTTTTTTTTAAAGATGCAGGACAGTCATGTGACAAAATTGCTTTAAATCTACTGTTATTTATTTTATTTTTTTTTATACACTGAGTTTGATGAAATTCTGCATAACTTGTTCAGTTTTTTAATGGAATTTGGCATAGCGTCCCCTGTACATCCAATTCTCTGGATACAACAGCTCTATGAGGCGGCTCCTGTACTTTTGCCTGATTGTTTTTTTTTGTATGGTCTGAGGTATTCGTGTCATTGCAGGATGGCATCTTCCTTCAAGATTCCCAAGAAGAAACATCCTCATGGCTCTGACTCCAGTCCCCTAGACATGCAGTCACCTCTGTCCCGCCTCCAGACCTCCACCCCTCGACTAAAGGTGGTATTCCTAAATCTTCCTCGTGTCATCCGTTTGTCCCCGTGAAGTGATATTACATTCCTTTAATCCTCTGATTAACTGTTTAAGGTGGTATTAATGATCTAACAGGTTAATTGTTTGGGATATTTAAAGATGGTGTCTGTAAACTTTCTCATGTTTAGTTGATTAGTCATATGGAAAGCTAATCTACAGTTTTGAGTACTATTAAGGTGGTACTGCCTCCAGTGAAACCTTTGATATTTAAGGTGATATAGGTTCTTAAGGTGGAATAATTGAAAATTCTGCTTTTAAGGTGACTGATTGGAAGGAGTTGCCCTTATATAGAGTGTGCAGAGTGCATATCAGGATACTTCCACTCCTTCCACTCAGTCACCTTCCCCGCTGAACAGGAGGCAACTCATGAGACACCACTCCTTTTTTTAAGGTGGTACCAGCCCATATTCTTGATGTGTGGTGATGATTTATGTTAAGGCTGTTTTGAGTAAGATTGATTTTACTTAAGGTGATATAAGTTGTTGTTTTAAAGTGTCCGACCCATTCAGTTATTTAAGGAAAGGCTCATTTAAGGTGGTATCTATAAAGTGTTGGACCTTTTTAAAGGTGGTATGTTTGAGTTAATCAAGCGGTTGTGTTTGTTTGTTTTGTGTGCAGTTTTACGGGAATCAGTCTGGCAGAGGTGGAACTGACAGGATGCATTCTGGGAATCCTGTGGGCGCTTTGTCAGCCAGACAGAGGTGAGTGCAGCACCCTCTGCAGTCTAAATAGTTTATTACACTTTCCATGAAATGTTAAAAGTAACCAGGTCATTTCCTTGCAGGACACCGTGTAAGCAGCTCTTAGGAAACTTCAAGACACAGCAGGTACTCAAGAGCCCCATCGGGGGCGGAGCTTCAGACGCCAATCAAAGAGCAGCAGGCAGCTGGAGCTGCCAATCACAAGCAGGACAGAGAGAAGTGACCTCAAGCTGTTTGTCAAACAGGTGAGTTTTTCTTTTTGCACTCAATAATTTAACGAGCTGAAGCTGCACCAACATCCGCTTAAAATCATAGACTTCATACCAAAATCTTTTTAAAACTAATTTTATTGTTTGTTTTTTGGGGGTTTTAATACAAGTTTTAGGCTCCTCTGCATCTCTAATCATAACCTTAATGTTTAGATTTACTAATGTTGACTTATTTGTTTGTACGTGTCATTCATTTGAATTATAAGCATGATTTATTTCTACTTAATTTTTTTTAAAAATTGGTAGTATTTTGTCACATTTCAAATATCTTTCATAAATTTAGTTTCACCCACTGTTTTGTTGTTTTAGTGACATTTAATTCAGCGGTTTTACAGAGTTTATATTTTAATATGTCCTTTGGTGCAATATTTTAATAATATTTTTAGGTTTCTACTTAAATATTTCTTATTTATTTATTTACAACCTAATGTGTTTAGGGAGCATTTCTAAAGATTTTTAGTTATTTTTTAATAGTTATAATATTACAATAAATATTATTAGAATATTATTAATCATGTCCTTATTATTAGTTGGAAAGTTACTTTTTATTTTCTCTAAAATTTTTGTAGATTTGTTTCATGCTACTTACTATTAAATGTTTCAATATTTCTTTACACGTATTGACAGGCTTTAGATTTTTTTATACTTTAATTCAATGATATTTCATTGAAATTATTTTGTTATTAACTATAATTGTAAAAAAGAAGTTTCTGATATACTTTTAAGTCTTTCATTAGTGACGCAGGCTGCGAGATAATTTAAATAATCTCACTGAGTGTCTCTGTTTTCTCCACCAGATGGCGTCCTAAGAGAGCGTCTGACCGGCTGCTGCATCCTGAGGTGGCTTTAGAGCACCTGTCTCCACCTCAGAAGAAGAAAGAGCTGTCAGGTTAGCTTTTCACAGGTAGAGAGAGGACTGTCTGAGATTTATTGATCAACGTGATTGATCGTCATTTCTTCTGCAGCTTTGGTCAATAAAAGGATCTCAGTGGACTCTGTGGACTCTCTGGCTGAGTTCAGAGGTGACGAGCATCTTAGGAGTTTGAGTTCTTCTACACTGGGAGACAAAAGGTGGAGGAGAGTTGAGTCTAATGGAGACACTTCTGAGAAGGTAAAGGTCAAAGGTTGCTGCACTTTCACAGTGAAAGTCACAAAAAGTAAAGTCATGAAACTTAAGTGAGGGGAGTTGCAATATTTTCGCAATAAAATCATCAAAGGTTTTTCAGAAAAATAAGGTTTGCAGAGTAGGCAGTATTTTCACAATAAAATTGTTTAGGATTAAACAGGTACACCTGAGATGCAGGAAAAAGTTGCAGAGAATAAAAAAGGTTTTATTGTGAATGTTTTGTAAACTTTAAATTTCCTGTTACAAACTGGATCTTCACCTTCGGTCTGATTGTTTCAGAGCGACACAGGAACTCCTCCCAAATCTCCTTTGAAACAACAGACAAAGAACTCTTCTATCTCCAGATTGAATCAAACTTCACCCTCAGGCCCACAAAGGCCTGAGGGTCACGATAAGACCATCTCCATGGTCTTATCGTCGTCGACGACGCCAGTAAGGAGGGTGCGACTTGCCTTCACCAGCAACCTGAAGGTCAACGACAGGGAGAAGGAGAGAGAGAGGTGGAGGCAGTTCAAAGAGAAGACTAAGAACAACAGGTCAGCTGTCCTCCACCGTCAACTGAGGACACCCAAACCGAAGCTGAGCCAACCAACTGAGCCGAGTGAGTTTGATTTCCACCAATTATGTGATGGAGTCTAAGTATACAGTGGGGCAAAAAAGTATTTAGTCAGCCACCGATTGTGCAAGTTCCCCCACGTAAAATGATGACAGAGGTCAGTAATTTGCACCAGAGGTACACTTCAACTGTGAGAGACAGAATGTGAAAAAAAAATCCATGAATTCACATGGTAGGATTTGTAAAGAATTTATTCGTAAATTAGGGTGGAAAATAAGTATTTGGTCACCTCAAACAAGGAAAATCTCTGGCTCTCACAGACCTGTAACGTCTTCTGTAAGAAGCTTTTCTGTCCCCCACTCGTTACCTGTATGAATGGCACCTGTTTGAACTCATCATCTGTATAAAAGACACCTGTCCACAGCCTCAAACAGTCAGACTCCAAACTCCGCCATGGCCAAGACCAAAGAGCTTTCGAAGGACACCAGGAAAAGTATTGTAGACCTGCACCAGACTGGGAAGAGTGAATCTACAATAGGCAAGCAGCTTGGTGTGAAAAAAATCAACTGTGGGAGCAATCATCAGAAAATGGAAGACATACAAGACCACTGATAATCTTCCTCGATCTGGGGCTCCACGCAAGATCTCATCCCGTGGGGTCAAAATGATCATGGGAACGGTGAGCAAAGATCCCAGAACCACACGGGGGGACCTGGTGAATGACCTGCAGAGAGCCGGGACCAAAGTAACAAAGGTCACCATCAGTAACACACTACAACGGCAGGGAATCCAATCCCGCAGTGCCAGACGTGTTCCGCTGCTGAAGCCAGTGCATGTCCAGGCCCGTCTGAAGTTTGCCAGAGAGCACATGGATGATACAGCAGAGGATTGGGAGAATGTCATGTGGTCAGATGAAACCAAAGTAGAACTTTTTGGTATAAACTCAACTCGTCGTGTTTGGAGGACGAAGAATACTGAGTTGCATCCCAAGAACACCATACCTACTGTGAAGCATGGGGGTGGAAACATCATGCTATGGGGCTGTTTTTCTGCCAAGGGGACAGGACGACTGATCCGTGTTAAGGACAGAATGAATGGGGCCATGTATCGTGAGATTTTGAGCCAAAACCTCCTTCCATCAGTGGGAACTTTGAAGATGAAACGAGGCTGGGTCTTCCAACATGACAATGATCCAAAACACACCGCCCGGGCAACAAAGGAGTGGCTCCGTAAGAAGCATTTGAAAGTCCTGGAGTGGCCTAGCCAGTCTCCAGACCTCAACCCCATAGAAAATCTGTGGCGGGAGTTGAAAGTCCGTGTTGCTCGGCGACAGCCCCAAAACATCACTGCTCTCGAGAAGATCTGCATGGAGGAATGGGCCAAAATACCAGCTACTGTGTGTGCAAACCTGGTAAAGACCTATAGTAAACGTTTGACCTCTGTTATTGCCAACAAAGGTTATGTTGCAAAGTATTGAGTTGTATTTTTGTTATTGACCAAATACTTATTTTCCACCCTGATTTACGAATAAATTCTTTACAAATCCTACCATGTGGATTCATGGATTGTTTTTTTTTTCACATTCTGTCTCTCACAGTTGAAGTGTACCTCTGGTGCAAATTACTGACCTCTGTCATCATTTTAAGTGGGGGAACTTGCACAATCGGTGGCTGACTAAATACTTTTTTGCCCCATTGTAATGCGGGAGAGGGATACACCTTTAAATGTAAGTATATGAAAATCTGATGGTACAAAAGCTATATTTTTATAGCGGCTGTGTTGTTAGGCTTTGGGCATTTGCTTATGGTTATTTTTTAATTAAAATAATATTTTTAAAAATTGCCCGTAAACTAGCTTGTATGGTGGGTCCCGCAGTTTTTCACGTATTGCTGCTCACACACACCTAATTTAGATTTTTTCAAATGAACCTTTTTGTGATATGTTTTAGGGAACAAAGACCAAACGGCTCAATTTATTAAAATGAGAGGAGAAAATGATCACCGGTCCACTGGGTGAAGAATTTTGTCACTGTGGCATGGAGGTACAAGAATAAATCAATTTACACATCATATTCATATGAGTATGGTTTTAATAACCATCATGCTATACAGAACCTGTGATGTCCAGACGGTATTCCTCTTGTTTTCTGCTGTGAACACTTTTGGGTTTAGGGATTAACATAGTTGCCATGGTTTCCTTTCTTCTCTTATTTTTGCGTGTGATCAGGACAATTCTGGAGAAGATGATCCTGCAGGGGAAAGTCAGCCCCTTGCACGCCAGAAGACATGGGCAAATTTAAAAAGAATACAATGTATGTGTGTTATCAAGAAGATAATTCTTAAGAACACAAGTTAATAAACGTACAATTACTGTCCTAATTTCGTCTATCCCTGAGGACAATCGAGAGCCAAGCACAGCAGTGGGTGACCAAAACGACAGCGATGAGGAATGTGTAATCCACGTTAATCTCGTTAAAATGACGTTAAGCCATAACTGCATTAACGCGGCAAATCTCCATTAGCGAGTTAACGCGGATCGCCCTGTGCGTTCATCTCGTCATTTTAACGAGATTAACACTGACAGCACTAGTAATAAACCAACTGTTGGGGTCATGGAATTTACACTTTAGGGTAACACTCGCTGACAAGACCCAGTGCAGACTCTTTATACACTCCAACGACTCATCTCTCCGTAGTATGAACACAAACTCTTCTGGTCTGCTCATGTGAGGTACAGTAGTTGTTCCATCATATCTCACTCCTTAGATAATCATTACTGATTAACAGTAACAGTGTGTCTGTAGGGACTGTAAAGATTAAGTCTGAAAAATTCTACGGTAGATTTGTTGTCTAGAAATTGATATAAAGACATCAAAAATTATGATTTCACAATTTTACAAGTTTAATGTCGTGTTCGAAGTAGTATGGGCCGTATCCTAAAGGAGATGTGAGGTGGTGCAAGCTCTGAAATAATTTTGCCCCCAGTCGCAATGCTGATTGACAACATCAAGAACCAGACTCTGAGATAAGTGAACTGAAACTCCATTCATTTGGTAAGCATGGCAGAAAATCTTGCAGTAGAATTGGGTCTTTGTCTCAAAAATCAAGAACTGGCTGTGAGAAAACACTGAAGTTCAGGTCAATTTTCTCTTCTTTGACACAAAACAATCCACATAAATGTTGTATCAGTGTTACATTTGTTTAAATATTGTTCCATCTGAAAACGTATGCATTTGAGAACAAAGATGTAATTAGCTGTGAATGTTGTACAAACTATTGCAGTACAGACCTGCATGCATTTTTATACATTATACATGTTATTGCAATAAAGAAAGTTAATGCATACGTTTAACTTGTTGGTTTTCTTTAATGCCATTAATATGCATACTAAGGAGCTTGGAAAGGATGTGACTAGAGTTCTTTAAGTTCCTTGAAGACATTTCACCTCTCGTCCTCAGTTCTAAAACCAAATGGTGGAGAATTCCAGGTATTTAAGCCTGAGTTGGAGTTGGCTCTTAAGCGGATGACTGACATACTATCAATCACTTGACTCATCACATGAGCCAAGGTTTGAAAAAGGTGTGTGTCATTACCACCAGAGGTTTCAGGTGAAACCACTGTATGACCTGGCCACACCTTAACATGTGAACTATTAAGGCCACCAAATGCAACATGTGAGTAAGGGTTGACGCACCTGGGAAGGGATCTCAATACTGGATTATAGATGGCAGTTAGCTGTTGTCGTAAGCCACCCACTGTTTTCACAGATGGTCGTTCACAGTGGACATAGATGGCCTCTTTCACTCCTCTTTCAAACCGTCTGCCTTCTCGGCCCAAAACATGAAAATTGACATCTTCGAAGAGTGACCTTTATGCTTCCTAAAGAATGGCTTCTTGTTGCACTGAAACTACTATTAGCAAACCCAACAAGCAAGTTAAGGACGCTCAACATACAGGGAGTGCAGAATTATTAGGCAAGTTGTATTTTTGAGGAATAATTTTATTATTGAACAACAACCATGTTCTCAATGAACCCAAAAAACTCATTAATATCAAAGCTGAATGTTTTTGGAAGTAGTTTTTAGTTTGTTTTTAGTTTTAGCTATTTTAGGGGGATATCTGTGTGTGCAGGTGACTATTACTGTGCATAATTATTAGGCAACTTAACAAAAAACAAATATATACCCATTTCAATTATTTATTTTTACCAGTGAAACCAATATAACATCTCCACATTCACAAATATACATTTCTGACATTCAAAAACAAAACAAAAACAAATCCGCGACCAATATAGCCACCTTTCTTTGCAAGGACACTCAAAAGCCTGCCATCCATGGATTCTGTCAGTGTTTTGATCTGTTCACCATCAACATTGCGTGCAGCAGCAACCACAGCCTCCCAGACACTGTTCAAAGAGGTGTACTGTTTTCCCTCCTTGTAAATCTCGCATTTGATGATGGACCACAGGTTCTCAATGGGGTCCAGATCAGGTGAACAAGGAGGCCATGTCATTAGATTTTCTTCTTTTATACCCTTTCTTGCCAGCCACGCTGTGGAGTACTTGGACGCGTGTGATGGAGCATTGTCCTGCATGAAAATCATGTTTTTCTTGAAGGATGCAGACTTCTTCCTGTACCACTGCTTGAAGAAGGTGTCTTCCAGAAACTGGCAGTAGGACTGGGAGTTGAGCTTGACTCCATCCTCAACCCGAAAAGGCCCCACAAGCTCATCATTGATGATACCAGCCCAAACCAGTACTCCACCTCCACCTTGCTGGCGTCTGAGTCGGACTGGAGCTCTCTGCCCTTTACCAATCCAGCCACGGGCCCATCCATCTGGCCCATCAAGACTCACTCTCATTTCATCAGTCCATAAAACCTTAGAAAAACCAGTCTTGAGATATTTCTTGGCCCAGTCTTGACATTTCAGCTTGTGTGTCTTGTTCAGTGGTGGTCGTCTTTCAGCCTTTCTTACCTTGGCCATGTCTCTGAGTATTGCACACCTTGTGCTTTTGGGCACTCCAGTGATGTTGCAGCTCTGAAATATGGCCAAACTGGTGGCAAGTGGCATCTTGGCAGCTGCACGCTTGACTTTTCTCAGTTCATGGGCAGTTATTTTGCGCCTTGGTTTTTCCACACGCTTCTTGCGACCCTGTTGACTATTTTGAATGAAACGCTTGATTGTTCGATGATCACGCTTCAGAAGCTTTGCAATTTTGAGACTGCTGCATCCCTCTGCAAGATATCTCACTATTTTTGACTTTTCTGAGCCTGTCAAGTCCTTCTTTTGACCCATTTTGCCAAAGGAAAGGAAGTTGCCTAATAATTATGCACATCTGATATAGGGTGTTGATGTCATTAGACCACACCCCTTCTCATTACAGAGTTGCACATCACCTAATATGCTTAATTGGTAGTAGGCTTTCGAGCCTATACAGCTTGGAGTAAGACAACATGCACTCCCTGTAATATTCATCCTTCTACATTTGCATTTAGGAAATCACAGCAAAAGTGGAATCCATCTTTGAACATACTTAACATATCATGTTTTTGTCAAGTCATTTTAGGCAAAATTACATAACATATTTACTGCAGTAGGAGTGAAAATTAAGTTAGTAAAGAATGATGAGTACTCTAACATGCTGTTATACTAAAACTCACAGACTAGTGAATAATCATTGTTAATGTTGAGATGAAGCTTTCTTTCGTCACATACAAACACACAAAGGTAAATAAACTAATTTGGTTGAATAATAAACCAAGGTTAATGGAGAAAAAAACATGTCTACCGTATACAGTAACACTGAGGCATGGACGGATTTGAATAATGTGAGCTTAATATTCAAACTGGCTTATCCGGTCTTTAAGTCTGACATCATTAGCTGTCATTTGTCCAAACTCCACTTCATGTCCCAAAGTCAAATGAACATTTCTAAAAGTTAGAAGTTTTAGAATTAGAAGTTAGCAGGAAGTTATGCTTAATTGGTAGTAGGCTTTCGAGCCTATACAGCTTGGAGTAAGACAACATGCATGCAGAGGATGATGTGGACAAAATACTCATTTGCCTAATAATTCTGCACTCCCTGTACACCGGATGCAGTCTTCTGTGAGTGGTAATCAGTTTATTTTCTCATTAGGCCCTTTTATGTTTATCACTTTATCTAGAGAATCTGTACACTTGTGTTTGTTGGCGCAACCAACTATGTTGTTGCATTAAATGTTCTGGGCAACATCCACATGCTAGTAGAAACAGTCTTGTAAAGGTCCTTGTGCTATACTGGTATCAGTCTGTTTGAATGTGTTCTTATTTAGTTTTTACATTCAGCATTTAGAAATGCTGTTTGCATTCTGCATTATGTAATTCACACATTTTTATTGAACTGTAAGAAACTATATACAATTTTCACAGTTTAACATCAGACAAAGATCTGTTGTTTAAAGAGAAAGCATCAAATCATGTCTGCTTTTAGAGACAGGATTTGATAGACCAGAATTCATGTCAGCAGTTTGATCCGCATTTTGTCATGTCCTAAAAATGAACTTAATATAAGGTTAGGTTTAGATTTTTAGATTTTAATCAGGTTAAGTTACCATATTTTTACCTACTAGTGTGAACTCACAGAGCCCAAGACTCAATTCAAATGTCTCCAAGTTTCAAAGGTTGTCAGTTTTGTGCACCGCATTAAAATTTGAAAAATAATTTTCTGTCTTGTGCGCATGAATATGTGCATCTGTGTTGCAATGCTGCCACCTGCTGGACCGAGCTAAATTATCTAAGGCAAAACAGTCTCACCTTGAACTTGAATCCAGCTCTGCTCTTTATTTTCATTAATAATCAAATAAAAACAAACTATCACACAGAGGTTGCTCTTGCTCTGTTTACACTGTGATAGGCTTTGCAGCAACGCTCACAGTTAAAGATGGGATATCTGAACACAAACACAATTAGCTTTTTTTAAAATCACTGATTGAACATAAGTTAACACATAAACAGAATAAATGTCCATCAGTAGGAAATGTGCCTGCACCAGTGGCTTATATTACCCATAGAAACAATTTCTTGTGTTTGTTTTGTGCTCTTCTCTTTCATTCTTTTGAAACTTTTTTTTTTGACTTTTTATCTACTTTTTCCTGTTTTGTCCAAAATATAACAGTTGATAGGGGTCAGCATGGGCACCCTGAGTGGTCTGCTGCCATGCAGCTCCACTCACAACAAACTGCAATGTACTGTGTATTCTGAGATGTTTCTGTCACACTCAGTATGATGTTATTTTTGTGCCTCTATTCTGAGCGCATATAAAAAACAATTTGCAAGCACAAATATTGCATTTTGAGGAGAAAATGATTTTGAGCGAAGCAAAGTTTAATTTGAGCAAACAAAACTCATTGTTGTGTGCAAGAAATGTATTTCAGTGTTTGCTGTTAACCATAAGCACACACAGTAACAGCCCCTCTCGCTCAGTTGTTGGCATTTGCTCTTGATCAGATCTCTGCTCTGTGTGCTCACAGACATCTGCGGACCTGCTCTCAGTGTGTTGTTCGCACTCACAATATCTCTGCTCCATGCACTCTCAACTCTCTGTACACCATTATAAGTGTGCCACAAAACCAACCAATCACAGACTTGGATACAAATATTCTGCTTGGCTGTTACTGTCTCTAATCAGCTTGCTAGCTACTGCATTCCGGAAACACAATCCAGAATGTATGTAAATGCATTTTTGCTTAGTATGTTTAATTATTTTATTTTAAAATATATCATTTTTAAGGCCATTGTTGTTTTAATCTAGTACTGCCTCAGTACTACATGGAAGCTCCTGTCAGGCATCATATCGGCTAAGATGAACAGGCACATGGGTCAATACATGAGCGAGACACAGAAAGGAATTGGCAAGGATACCAGAGGCGCAAAACACCAGCTACTGGTAGACAGAACAATCAGCCGAGACTGCAAGACCAGACTGACCAACCTGTGCACTGCCTGGATTGATTACAAGAAGGCCTATGACTCAATGCCCCACAGCTGGATACTGGAATGCCTAGAATTGTACAAGATCAATGGGACCCTAAGAGCCTTCATCAGGAACTCAATGGGGATGTGGCGTACAACACTAGAGGCCAACTCCAAGCCCATAGCACAAGTCACCATCAAGTGCGGGATCTACCAAGGAGATGCTCTGTCCCCACTGCTGTTCTGCATAGGCCTGAACCCCCTCAGTGAGATCATTAACAAGACTGGCTACGGATACCGACTACGGAACGGAGCAGTTGTCAGCCACCTCCTGTACATGGATGACATCAAGCTGTATGCCAAGAGTGAACGAGACATCGATTCACTGATCC